TTCCCAACAATGTTCATTTTTTCTCATACGCTTGGAAGTGTGAAAACATGTGATAAATGTTCTACAATAAGAAAACCTATTGCTTGTTACCAATCATCAACTTTATAGTACAATTAGGTGCCCTAAAAGTTAATTAACTATATAAAAATTCAATTAATGAAAGTGATCAATCAAACACAAATCAAATTTAAGGATTCTAGTTTAAACAAGAACATAATCACTAGAATAGAATCACAAATCAAACATAAAATCACATGCTTCAAGTCAAGCAATCAACATGTTTTGAACAAGAACTAAAAACTAGGTTTTCTTAGCCACACGTGGCTAAGAACATCTCAAACAATAATAAATATGAAATTGAAATGTTTAATTCTTACAAAATGAAATCAAAAGTGTTTGCAATCATTTGGTCTTCTCAAAAGCTCCAAGAATTCTCCCAAAATCGCCTAAGATCACCAAAGATCCCCCAAAATTGCTCCAGAAACCGCTTTCTTGAAATGGCGACATCTTCACTTGTTTTATTAATGCTCACGTGCTTGTCATAAGGCCATGCGATTTTAGCATGGTCATGCCTTTTGCCCATGTGTTTTTGGCATGGCCATTTGTCTTGACCATGTGTTTTTGCCATGGCCCATGATTTTTGCTAAAAGTCGAATAAGTCTTCACTGTTGCCTCCATCTTCAGTCTAGCTTCACCACGATTCATGTTGTAACACCGTAAATTTTCAAACAAAAATTTCATTTTAAAACACTATAAAACACATGTCACACTCATTCCAAAAATCACAAGTATCAATTTATCAACACATTTTTAAAAGTTGTTATCATAAATCCAGGATCCTTAATCATAATTCTTTTCTCTTGTGTGTACAATCAAACTGACGCCTTCCCGCGATCCTTATAAGAACCTAAAACACATAACACGGTAAACACGAAGCTTAATGAGTTCCCCAAAATACCACACACAAATCATTAGCCACTTGAGGCTATAACACATTAAGACCCTCTGGTCAATGTGCCTCAGTGGGGCCGTCCGGTCCGATAACTTTTATGGACTCTCCGATCCTACCATGTAAGCTCTGAATAATACACAACATAAATCACAAAGAAATAATGTAGGATATCACAATACACAATGTAAGTACATAAGACCCTTCGCTCGCACAACTCAGATTACCACACTAGGTAAGTATAGTGAGAAGACTCACCTCGCAAGCAAGCAAGCAAATAACCTCGTACTCGAATCTCAAACTAGCCTCCACCTAACACAAAGGGTGAATATCTCTAATTAATACTTTTAAATGAATCTAATAATCGAAGGCTATTGTTTCTCTCTTTAACTCTTGAACTGGATAAAAGACCATTTTACCCCTCCATAGTCTCCATTACTCATGTTTGGCCCAACCCTAAAATCAGCAAAAGTCAAACTCGAGTCAACAGTCCATATTTTACCCGACTCACCGAGTACACCCATGTGACTCGTCGAGTCCACTTGTTTCCTCATAAGTCTCGTGAAGGTCCAACTCAGCTCATCAAGTTGACCCCCAACTCGTCGAGTTATCACATGATCAAGCCCATCGGGACAAACCCTCACTGACTCGTCGATTCGGCCCATCGACTCGACGAGTCTATTCAAACTCATTCCTCATTCAGATGATTCAAAGCAGATCTACCACTCCAAACAATCGATCTAGCATCTCAAGGCTCAATTATCACATAAAGCTTCGATCTTTATCTTCATGCATGGTAATTTTGCTCCAACATACCAATACATGCTCTCACAAGGTTCTAAGCACAATAACCCTCATATGGATGAATAAAGTTAGGACCTTTGGACTCTAAGGACCTCACAAGGTCCAAATCTGAGGTCTAAACCCCATGATAACTCTATATGCTCGAAGTCCCAACAAAAGGTAGTAGAAACCCTAATCTTCCATAATAATGAGATCTAGGAAAACAAATGAGAAAGGTGCAAGATTTTACCTCCCACTAAAGCCCTTGCATGAAGATACACTAGATCCAACTGATTCTCTTGCTGCCTTGTTAGATAATATCCTATTCTCCTCAAAAGAAGCACTAGATAACTCCAACTTTAGCTTCTAAGACTCTTTTAGCTCACTACACACGTTTAGGGTTTTACACAGGAAGGTTAGGCAACCGGTGAGGCATAAATGAGGGCATAAGTTCTCTTATATAGGCCCCAACCCCAGGAAATTAGGTTTTCACTACACAGCACCAACTCGGTGAGTCGTCTCTCTGACTCGTCGAGTCCATTCATTAATCCCACGCGGTCAACCCGACTCTACTCGACGATTTGGACTCGCAAATCGTCGAGTCACTCAATAAATCTCAAAATTAAACACACAAATAATATACCTGGGAGTCCGGATGTTATAATTTTCCCCCACTTGAATTATATTTTGGCCCTCGACATCGCTCCTCAACAACATATAGATCGAACCCAATAACCCAAAAAGCACTATCAAAAAGATCTCATACCACACAACTATCTTCCTCCAGGGGCACCTGAATCCAAACAGGAACTCCCAAACCCAAAAAGGACAGACCCCTCTGCCATTACGATACCTATTCTGACTCTCCAAAACCTAGAAACTCTAGTGGCATGTCTCATTGCCAGACCGCCCTCCTAAGATATCACCATGTTATTTGCTCCTCGAATAACAGACCCCGATAACTCACCACCCTCTGATTATCTTGTTACGATTGATAAAAACAAGTCATTGACCAAAAATTGGCTACCGATCACTCATACCATATATACTAAACGATCCAGATCATACTCCAAGGAACGAAGGTGTCAGATTTCACCAGGGACCCATCCACTGTGTTACAATTAGAACCCATCTGAACAATGAACTCTCAACACCCTGTCCTTAGACATATGAAGATGATCATGCTGTCTTAAAAGTATTCTCTGACATCTAATAATCATAAGCCCCAACCCCCTCTCAAATATCCCTTTCAACACTGAGCACCAGGTCAACTCCTGACCCAACAGTTGAACCTCCAAAGGTTACCCATTGCATACCCCAAAACGTCTCACCGACTTCCTTCTTATAATAACTATCTCGACCCATTGTGACACACAAGTCATGAAGTTCGCTTTATCCCAAGTGAATACTACAATCCCAATTGAATCGTCTCACCTTGACCTCTGCCGCCTGCTACTTTATTAGTTCCATGCGTCTTGCGGTCCTTCCCATACAGACGAACTGTCTCACTCAGGTAGAAGACATCCATGGACACACAATAATCCATCAAAATGGAACCTACCTCTACGTCCGGAATCTCATTTCGCCTTCTCAATACACCACTGGAGCCAACTCGACTCGAGAGTCTGGTCCAACGCAAAATTGGAACTAATTGCCCTAATGAAGCACTCAACTCATAACCCATGACCCACAACTTATGTGTACATCACTTCTCCGATTCCTTCTGATTGTGATAACCACACCTTAACTCAGAGTACAACGATTCCTGACCATTGGGGAGATCCCAGTCTCTCCCCTGGCCCGACCACCAGGTTCCCGCAAACTCAATTGATAAGGCTACCTAAGCCTAGGATGTGACATCCCCAATTTCACGACCATAAAGGACCGATTTGTTTATGCTTTTTTTTTTTATAAATCAGAGTAATCGTTTAAAGAAAACGGTTGCGAAATTCGTTCCCAAAACAAGATATGATAAAAACTTATCAAAACATTTCTTAAAGAGAATGTATTTTCATTAAATAATAAAAACTCGGGATGTCATGTTCCGATACAGACACATACGCATAAACAGAACATACATTCATTTACTCTAGTGATTTACATCTCCTTTAATCTCTCAGTGCAAAGCAACTTCGTATCAATACCTGTGATACAATTAAACTAAGTGGGTCAGGCTTGGGAGCCTGGTGAGCATATAGGGTTTTCATCCCACAATGTTATATCATATAGATATATATAGAACATCCAAAATTATATAATTTCACCATATAAAAAGCAACTCTTATCCCACCCCATCGATCCTTACAATGCCACAATCTAAACTCTCGTATCTAAACTTTTCCTCTTTATCTGATCCCTACTCACGGATCTAAACTAATCTCTCCACCTGATCCATACTCTCAGACCTAAAACTAACCTCTTGGTCTAATCCATACTCCCGGATCTAAACTAATATCTTGGTTTGATCCATACTCCCGGATCTAAAACTGTGCCCAATCCATACTCCCGGACTAGGGACAATTTACTATGTCTTAATCCATACTCCCGGATTAATGACAAGTTTACCTATTGGTCTGATCCATACTCCCGGATCTAAAACTGTGCCCAATCCATACTCCCGGACTAGGGACAATTTACTATGTCTTAATCCATACTCCCGGATTAATAACAAGTTTATCTCTTTTCCTATTCCATACACTACTAGAAAAACAGCCTTTTACGACGCTCATTGCGCGTCATAAAACGCTCAGACGACGCGCAAATGCGCGTCAAGGAAGGCCCTATCATAACGAGAGACGACACGCTTTTGTGCGTCGTCTAGAGACGACGCGCATGTATGACACGCAATGCGTATGATTAAAGTCGCTGTCAAGAAAGGCCATGTCATAAATGAAGATGACACATATTTTTGCGTATCGTAATTTTTATTTTTATTTTAAAAAAATTTATTTATAGATTTACTTATTTATAAATTAAATTTGCATTTCATGTCAAATAATAGAAAAATAAATTACCATATACAAAAAATACAATCCATTTCACAAAAGTTAATGTCATACAAATAAGCATTACAATACTAGACAAATATAATACATCAAATGTGTTGTTGTTTTACACAAACACATACACATAATCTATACAACTATTTTCATATAAGGTAATAATAGACTATAACTATTGAAAATCTATACAACTAGTGTTGTTATTTTACACAAACACGGACACATAACATTAAAAATGTTGGAAAAACAGCAGGAAATAAAGTAAGTTAGAGAGGAAACATGTTCTTGAGGTCTTTCACCAAATCTTGAAAAGACTTGGTTGATAAGGTGATCTTCCTGAAGTTGGATAGCATACCAGAGAAGACATAAATCTGATAGCAAATTAGCACGCCCCCATCTTTGTAACAAAGTTAAAGGGAATATAGGTTGCCATTCGGACAACCTGTCATTGTGAATAATAAATAAATAAAATAATTAATAACTTTAAATAGAAAAGATAAAATTTACCTGTCCAATTCCAGTACTTCCATCTTCAAGATACAAAGTTATATTGTACCTAAATTTGAGATTAAAACAAAAAAGATTTCTATTGATTACGATAATCTAAGAAACCAAAGAGGTTATTATTTTTTTTTACCGAATCATCTTAATGAGCTAAACACTTGATCCAGACAGCTATATACATGGCTCTTTCTTTTTGACTAAATTTGAAATTAATGACTTACATGGTTAAGCCAAAAAAATATGGCTTAATGTATTAAGACACTAATCCCTTACCTACTTGTCATTCTTTGTTTTTCCTCCCAACTCATTTCACGTTAAAATTGATGATTTTTGTTAAATAAATGAAAATTGTGGAATTTGTTTTTTGGAATGTAATGGTAAAATGGTAAATATTTATTCAATGTAGAAAACAAGCAATATTTATGTATACACCATTTTATTCAGGCATACATCATTACTCACTCAGTCACTTTACATATAAGACTTAATGGGGGAAAAAGAAAAAGAAACAACCCTTGTGTAGATAAATATGACATACTTTCTTGCCAACTCTTAGTGTTATCTGATGGAGGCCATAAAATTTGGTGATCAAGGTGTTATCATGCGCATGCACATGTTTGTAATAGCTAGGAAGCATCTTGAGTAAAACCTATAGAAAATCACATTATCATATAAACAATATTTACTTTTTGTTCAGAAATAAAATTCTCAATATTAATCAATTACATTTAGCCATATTGAAAGTTGGTAGTTATTTCTTGCATTTAGCCATATTGGAAAAATGAGGATGAGCAATTAAAGGCCTAAGTGAGGTAGCATACCTGGCAAATTTCTATCTGCTTCATCAACTCCTGATTCTTATTCTGAAGATCATCAACCATTGAAGCCTTTCCCAAGGCAACCTGCACAGTTCTCTCAGCGTCAAGTAGAGCAGCCTCTTTTGATTTAGTCAATCAATCTAATGCTTTATTGTCATCTTGCAGCTTAGCAATTTGAAACCCAAAAAAGGGTAACACTATAAATGTTTACATTTTTATGTTGTGCAATGCAATGCAGACTGTACTTGTATTTTTGCTTTAAGGATGCATTCGAAATACTGATGACAAAAGACTAAAGAGAAGAGTCGTGAGCAGCAAACCTCTTGTCGAGCAAGCTTTAGCTTAGCTTCTAGTGATTGAATAACAGGTTAATCAATTTAATTAACTGAGTAATTAAGAAATTTTTAAACAATTCACATCTCAATATTATGATGATTCTATATCAATACATAGTTATATATATGCTGGTTATTTATGAAGTTTGTTGAATTCACATGGAAAAGTTTGCAGGTGCATATGTATTGTTATTTAAACACTTAAAGTTTTTATTATGTAGAATATATCATTTTTGAGGTTTAAATTGTTTTGATGAGACTTAAGTTATATAAGTTAGTAATAATTTTTCCTTTTTTCCAACTACCCTCATAAACTGTACCATCGGACCATGTGTATTTACCCTTACCATGAGGAATCATTCCCTTGACATTACCATAGTACATATCTCCTTTTAGAAGGATCTCCAAACTCATGCTGATCTTTTATCAGTTTCTGATGAGCTCCTTGTATTAATAACACCTGTTACAATGAAATTCATGTTTATATGGCATCTTAAATCAAAACAGTTTATCAAACCCAAGTAGGAGTTGTCTTACAATACTGAAAAAGAATATTGGAAACAAGCAACCAGACCCCTTAATTGTAAAACCATCCTTGTTTTTTATTCATGTACTTACATATTATACCATCTGTTAATCTTTGACTGTTCAGGTTTTGCACATACAATGAAGACAACAACGGTTGCTAGTAATCCCAGGTCTTTTGGTTTTCTCACTGTCCAGATTACTCTTCAACAACACATATAACAGGGTTTAATTTTGCATTTATGGAAACGGGATGGAAGGGGCACACACAATAAATGATATCTTCAATATCCAGACTTGATTTGTACGGTAAAAAATGCTTTCAAATATGATAAATAGTTAAGAAATAACGTACGTGATAGTGAGCAAACCGTCGGGTGGTGGCCGGCGTGGAAGCAGGGAAGTAATGTAGCAGCAGATGAACGGATGGGCAAATGAGCAAAACCGGGGACCACCGTTTTAGGTTTCGTGGTGTTTATGAACATTCCGAGAATCGATAGTAGTGATTTATCTCCATTCTCCAACACAACTCACACAAATTGAGAAGGCGTTAGATTTTTACCATTAATGATGAATCGAAGAAGGAGTACCAAAAGTTACATACCACGAATCGAAGAGACCGAAACTAGAGGATGAGGAAGATCCCAACAACCGATTCTGAGATATTCTGAGCCAAAATGAAGATCCAAGAAATTGATTTCTGCTTCGATTGATTAAGAATCAATGAGTACTCCGTCTTCCACTAATAGAGTATTTAAGGGTTTTATGGAGATTCAGTTGAATAGACGGCTGTGAATGTATAGGAGAAAGAAGCCGGAAGAAAATTAATCTATCGTGGGTTTAGAAACTTAAGTGAGGGTGATGTTGGTTGAGTTACTGATGTTTCAGGGAGGCGGCGTAAAGAATCATTCTTAGGGCTTTAAGGGAAAAGAGGGAAACAAAATGGGGGACAAAAAGGAAGGCGGGGAGAAAAAGGAAGGCAGCCATTTCTAATTTTTAGAATTTTCATCTCCCGCTCGTTGCTACTAAAGGAGGCGCGCATTCACCATAAAAAATTATAAAACGACACCTAATTCTAGGTCACGCGAAAATGCGTCACCTAAATCCTTTAAATTTTATTAGAGACGACGTTTTTTCAACGATACCCACTTTTACGTATCTTAAATCAGTGCGTGTCATAAATTGCGTGTCCTTAAAGCCCTGTTTTCTAGTAGTGATATTCTCGGATCTAAATCCAATCTCTTTATCTAATACGTACTCACGGATCTAAACCTAACCTCTTGATCTGATCCATACTCACGGATCTCATCTACCCATGTCCTACCCAACATATTCGTAGATACAAAATATATATATATATATAGTTTAACTCATTAAAACCTATATAGTTCATCCATTCCATACCCAATCTCAAATAAACAAACAATATATAAACACATAGCACGTATTTCATAACAAATACTTAATATTTATGTGTTAGAAGAATGTGATCACACACTCACCCAAAACATATACTTAATACATTCAAACAATACTTGTATTATAATCGTGTTTATGAAAGGGACTATACACTCACTTGATCAGAAGATGATCGGACAACACTACGACTTGTAGAAGTAGTATTCTTCGGTGAAATCAGGTTCACTTCACACACCTAGTTTCTCGCGGGCAGAGCTTCGGCTCGGAAACTCTTTTCTTCTCGGGATCTTCGGGCTTCGGGACTTGCTTCGAGTCTCGGGGTTGATACCGGGGTTTCGGGGGGGTTAAAATAGGGCTTAGAGGGTGTATCGGAAGTGGGAGAGAAGGGATGGAGCAACCATAGTCGGCTGGCCCTTCAAATCTATTTATAGGGCAAATTTGGCCCTTGCCACGTCGTGGGATCCTTTTGCCACGTCGTGGGCTTGATTGTCACTGCATGCATCATCCCAAGTTGCATCTGGGGGACTCCCGAAGCTGTCAAGAGATTTTCCACGTCATGGCACTGCTTGCCACGTCGTGGTCTCTGACAGTTTTGGGGTTTCGCGCCCCGAACTTCAGAAATTCATAACTTTCGCATATGAACTCCGTTTTGGCGTTCTTTATATCGACGCGAAGGTGAGATTATGCTCTACAACTCTTGTTTAGACTCCATTGGCTAATTTTGACTTTATTTTTAATCTATTATAAGTATATTACTTATATATTATCTATAGTAGGTCGGGACAGGAAAACTCCGTTCGAAATTCATAACTCCTTCATCCGAACTCCGTTTTCGTCTGTCTTTTTATCGTTGGACTACTATCGAATAAATCTTCAACTCTTGTTTAGATCACTAAGGATAGATATCTATCTAACTTAAGTTCACTATTTACATCGTGTTGGGTCGCGCTGGGTCATGCCGGTTCTGTCGCGAAACTTCGACAGGTCATAACTTCTTCGTTATAACTCGGATTTTGGCGTTCTTTATATGCACGGAAACCTTGTGACATATACTACAACTTGGTTAAGATTAATCCTTCTAAATAATATTCCATCAAAAAGTCATTTTCGACCTTGAGAGTCTGGTGCAACGCAAAATTGGAACTACTCGCCCTAATGAAGCACTCAACTCATAACCCATGACCCGCAACTCATGTGTACATCACTTGTACGATTCCTTCTGATTGCGATAACCACACCTTAACTCAGAGTACAATGATTCCTGACCATTGGGGAGATCCCAGTCTCTCCCCTGGCCCGACCACCAGGTTCCCGCAGACTCAATTGATAAGGCTACCTAAGCCTAGGAACTCCTCTGTTTCATGCTCTGACTAGTGAACACTACGGCTCCTCGTAGATTCACAATGCTTCTCTCTTATTCGTTGGCTAGTGGAAGCTACGGTTCCACAAAGTTCCACAACACTCTCCCACTGACCAGTGAAAGCTATGGCTCCCCACAGTTTCACAATGCTCTCTCACTATTTGGTGAATACTATGGCTCCCCGCAGTATCACCACACCCTCTCACCGACTAGTGAATACTAAAGCTCCCCTCAGTATCACCACAGTCTCTCGTACTAACTCATGGATGCTACAACTGATGGGTTTTAGCCATAAGAACATCCTATGTGCTCATACAAACCCTAATGCTTGGATTTAGGTTTCTCTATTGTACATGCAATTTATGCAATACTATAAACCCTAGATCTAGCATATGATAATCAATACAACATATAATTAGGGTTTAGATCATACCTTAATTGTTATGTAGCAATAACAATCTCAAATCCTTCTTGTATTGACTTTAGAAAGCTTAGAGTCACAAATGTCACTCCTCTAATGGTTCACAAACACCAAGAGCAAGAGGATGAAGAGGAGAAGAGAAGGAGGCTGCCCAAAATCATCCAAAACCATAGATAACCAGTTCACCACGTTTTTGGGGCTTAAGGGTGCTATTTATACATGTAGGCTATTAGGGTTTTAAACTAGGAAACCCTAATATGACTGCTTAAGCCCTAAGCAGCCCATGGATTCCTTTCTTAAGGGCCTTGGACAATTTCCAATGGGTTTCCCCATAGAATTCTTCCAACCTTATAATATAAGGCAATCCATAGCCCAATTGCAATTATCTTTCCAATCCCTTAAGTTTAATTAATCTCTTTTAGTCACAAACTTAATTCTTATTAATTCTTAACTAATATTAATTAAACAATATGATTTCTCCTTTAATATATTATTCCCATAATATATTAATAAATTATATTTAATCCTTTCTCTCCATAATTCATTCTATCAAGTTGCTTTGGTGAAGGCAACCCAAAAGGATCATGCACCATCGGGTCAAGTACATACCAAAATAGTTATGGACTTAGACACTAATCCAACAGTCTCCCACTTGGATAAGTCTAATAACTAATCTGCGTATGACTTCAGATCCTGATCTGCAATCGTAGCTTTCCAAGGCCGTTGTCAACTCTGATTCCATCAGATACGTATGTCCTTTAGATAAGGGATCATATAACATATCACAGGGCCTCGCCCGCCAACAAATAATAACACATACACATATCACAGGGCCTCGCCCGCCAACTAATAATATCATATAACATATCACAACACATAAGTTAAACTCATACGACTGATCCTGTTCTAAGGCCTCGCCTATCCTGGGCCTCGCCCTTGTCCTACTACTGATGAGTCATGGAACCCCATCCACGCTCCTACTGGTAGTGAGATACATGCCCAACCCACTCTCACTCCTTCTCTAGCTTGGGCCTCGCCCTTGTTCCGCTACTAATGAGATGTGGAACACCATCCACACTCTGCTATTGGTGAGATACGGGACCTCGCCCACACTCACCTCCCTACCAAGCACATACATGTATCACACAGACAATAAGTATAGACTATCATATAAACAAATCCTCGGGCACCCGCCTGCTATTAAGGGACCTCATCCTGAAAATCATACTATCATACTGTGCCTAGGGCTAACCCCCGGGTCTTCTACTCATAACTACATGGGCCGGCATTGTGGCCTTAGACCCATTCACACAAAGGGACACTCACCTGCACTGGCTGAACTTGCTGATGATCTCACTAGCTGCTGCCCAACAACTCACTGAACTCCTGCTCCCTTTGCTCTTCGAACTAACAATATCAAAGCAATACTGAGCCTAACTGACCCCCGAAAGACAACCAAGTTAACCCTGGTCAAAGTCAAAGTCCTGGTCAGAGTCAACCTTCCAGGTCAACCCTACTCGCTGAGTCACCTTACTGACTCGCCGAGTTCAAATGTTCAAATTCCTTCCATTCGCGTCTCGACTCGCCGAGTCTACCGATTTCTGAGTCCTGACCTATCCAACTCACCAAGTCTCCAATCGACTCACTGATTCGAGTCTCAACTCGAAGGGTTTGGGGTTTCACAACCTGACTCGCCGAGTACAAGGCAATCTTCATCTGACTTGACGAGCTGTTCATCCCACTCATCGAGTTGCTCCTCACCTTCATGCTACTCGCCGAGTCCACTCAAAGGACTCGCCGAGTCCATTAAGATCTCCTTACATGCAGAGGACTTTTGAGTCATGCATGGACTCCAAACTGTAGATCTACCCTTCCCAAGCCTATTTCTCACGTAAATTTGCAAACTTTACGTGTAAAGAAGGAGATCTAAGCAAAATACACCATAAACTAGGGTTTAAGGTAAAGAGGCTCCATAATCAACTCAAGGGATGCTACTTTATGCTTCTCAAGACCATAATGAGCTTAGATCTGAAGTAGCAACCTCAGATCTGGCTTCTAACTCAAAAGAGGTAACTAATCATGGCTAGAAAACCCCCAAAACTCACAACCATACTAGATCTAAAGGAGAGAACGACTTAATACCTTCAATAACTCAGAAAACTTCTCCAATCTTCGGATCCAAGGCCAATCCTTGAAGCTCCAATGATTCCCCTTCTTCTTCTTCCTTCAAATCACCCCACAAATGGCTTGGACGCTTGAATGAGCAACAATGGGGCTTAGGGTTC